TGGGGCAGCCATACCCAGGTGCGCTCTGGTGGCATTGGGGCAGAAGAGCCTCAAGCTGCTGCCGCCTTGTGTGGATCTGAGAGCACCCCTGAGTGCTCTCTTGGCTCTGTGCCCATTAGTATGCTAATTGCTTTTAAATAGATCCAAGACATGAGCCATTGCCAGTCGGACTCACTTTCTTGATGAAAGATTGTGTTTCTTTTCCATCATCTGTGTGTTTGTGTTTTGGAGATGTGACAACAGGAAAGAACAAATTTGGACAAGGAGTGTAACGCTGAGCACTCTGCACAGTTAAACAGAGGTTGCGGCTGCTAGCAGAGCCAGCCCTCCCCATATCCTCTCATCACCTCCCAGGGTTCATGCCAACATGATGCCCCAGCTCATACCTTGTCACTCTGTGTGTATAACCCAAGCTCGCCTTCACATGGCCTCAACTCTTTCTCATGAGGTTCTGTAGCATAGCCCTGCCTTTATCCTCTGCTGTGATATTGCTGGAGCATCAAGTCTCTCCCAAGATAGTGGGCAAAAAATATGTGAGCTGTAATGCTGCCGGTTAAGTTCACCACTCACAGAACTATTCTTCATCTTTGGTGAAGTTACAGTCTTGTGATAAATCCGGGAACATACAGATAAATCCAGGCATACATAATATATGTTTACACAGGAAGAAACGTGGGTATTAAAGACCTATTCCAATGGCAGTAAATTCTTCAGTTGACGTTTAATGCATTTAACCATATGGCAAAGTCTCACCTGAACACTATATATGGTTTGATTATGTAGCAAGAGGTTCTTAAAAGATGGATAGAAAAAATGTTGACATACTTTCCCATGAAATCCAGAATAATTTTAGTACCCAGTCAGTAAAAAGCCTATTGCTTTAGGTACAGGAAAAGCTGGAGATAATGAGAATAAATCCTCTTCGTGACGAACATTCAGTTTAAAGAAAAAATGGTAGGTGGTGGGTTATCTGATTTGCTATCAAGGCATAGGATTTGTCTCTTCAGTATTTTATAGATAGAAATGGCTGTGTGTCTTCAAAACCGGAATTCAAAGACTCATAAATTCACAGCTTGGAAATAATAGAGTTAGCCCTTATGTACTTGCCAAAAATATTTTGGACAAGGCTAGGAAGTAAACAAATTAGAATCCAGAGATCTGCTCACATGCTTTAACCACAGAGATTTCCTAATTTCTCAGATCATTCTGCAATATTTGATCATTTTGTATTATAAGTATCCCAGTTTCCTCATTAAGGTTCAGTATGATTTGATACACCCTGCTTTCTTCCTTTGCCTTGTATTGCAGGAGGCGGAATTTCCTATTTCTGCAGTAATTAGCATGACACGGAGTTCATGCTTATTGGTTCTGATGTACTCCAATACAGATTACTTTCTATAGCCATTTGAACATAATCAGTAAGTTCAGCACATACTTACAAATAGATTGATATTATTGCAAACTATATTTATGGGAAAATAAGCTACATCTCTAAAAAAATCACCTAATTTAAGCACAAAATATCACTTAATCCTGTCAAAATTGCAATAGGCATTCACTGAAGACCCGCAAAGTGTAGTTCTGTACATCCTGCTCCTGGAAGTGGTGCTGAATCTGTTCTGAGTTTCTGAGCAAAGAGGGATTCATAGAATTGTAGAATCATTAAGGTTGGAAAAGGCCTCTAAGATCAACATGCCCAACTTCAGCCCACCCCCACCATGCCCACTGACCACGTCCCTCAGTGTCACATCTCCACAGTTCTTGAAAACCTTCAGGGACGGTAACTCCACCACTTCCCTGGGCAGCCTGTCACAACACTTCACCACTCCTTCAGAGATTTTTCCTTATATCCCCTCTGAATCATAGTTTGGGTGAGTTTGGCTCCAAACTGGCACTAACCTCATCCTCTGGTGTGAATGTCCATTTGCAGCTGTAGTACATCAGATATCTACTGGTACACTGCAACTTATTTAGTTTTATTTGTAAAAATTAATTACACTTCTCTGAGTACATTACACTCAATGCAAATTAAAGTGCAGTGTGTAGGGATGGTTTGGAGATAGACTTTGAAAGCCCACTCCAGAAGTGAGCTAATACATTCATGTAGACATGTCTTGATTACCCCTCCATGCCATGCTATCATGCCAGATTTTCCCAGCCCCTCGGAAAGTAAAATATCTTTATTTCCTTCTTTACAAATTTATCTTGTATGGGAATGTACAAGATTGAGTAAAACAGATAGATGTAGGTTTTATTTTGACTGTAATAGATAAATTCTACCATGGGTATTATAAGCAAGCAAATGGTCTCCAGTGTGTGAATATTTATGTTCTGCCTAGTAGTTTCATAGGAACTCTTCAACCTCTATTAGAATTTCATATTTTTCATGATAAAAAGTGTAGCTGATTCCCTTGAACATCACTGACGTCATCATAAAATTCATCAATCTCATCTCAATCTTATAATGATCCTGCCTCAGGAGAGGCTTTTGACTGAAGATAATGCTTGTCAATAAATGTAAGTGGTTGAGTTCCAGCTAAAACAGAGGGAAATAACATGTAAGCAAACATTGCATTTAAGGCTACCTGAATCAGACACACTTTAGAGATAAATTTAAAATATATATATATATATTTTCTGGCTGAGATGCCAGCTCCTAACTTATCCATTCTAACTTCCCTTAAAACCACTGACAAGATCACTGAAGTCAATAAGGTTACTAATATGCTTCAAGTTTGGCATGCCTACATACTTTGTGAAACAGGTGCTGAAAAACACTGTCAGACTTAACAATTGCTGGTGCTGTTGTTGTTCCGAAGACTGAAAGAAAAAGAAAAAAGAAAAGAACATTGTCTAATTTTTTGGGATGTTCACCTTAACTAGAACCATAAACTCATAGAATCATAGAAATGTTTGAGTTGGAATGGACTTTTAAAGGTCATCTAGCCCAAACGCCCTACAATAGACATAAACACCTACAGCTCCATCAGGTGCTCAGAGCTCTCTCCAGCCTGACCTGGAGTGTCTCCAGGGATGGAGCATCCACCACCTCTCTGTGCAACCCGTGCCAGTGCTTCATTACAAGCTGCAGAAACAAAACAAAACAAAATGATGAGGTCATATAAACTGATGGTCAGACATGGCAGGCTAGATTGCCCCTGTATTGTAAAGTAAGCCAGATAACATCTCAGCAAAATATTCTCCAGCAGTAGGAAGTATATTAAAATTCTTGTCGTGGCTAATTCCCTCACAAATTCATTGACAATTACTAGCAGCTTCTGCGAAGAGCTAAGCAGCCTCAAATTATCAGGTGAACGGAATGAGATTCAATGTTTAACAAAAGTCAGAATAATAATTCAATAAAATTGAAGCACAAAGCCCAGTGGAGAGTGTTCCTGTAAGAATTAAGTTATTGAAGTTTAAGCAATCATATGCAATAATGCAGCTGAAATATTGTTTCATAATAAATACTACTGCTGATGCAAATCTGATTCATTCTAGTGGCTACCATAATTAACTGCATGGTTTGTGAGCGGTTAATTTAGAGGATGAATAATTGGTTAAAACAAGTTTTGTGTATTGCAATGTAATATCCTTGTTCAATTTTCCACTTAATTTCAATTAATATGGGTTCTACATGTATTCCACTGTTGCAGCTTTTATGCCTATTATTTTTAATTAGAAAAAAGTGATACCTTGGTAGAAGAGAAGAAATGAACAACACTCTATGTTCTCCCAAGCTTATTCCATTACAGATATTTCAAGCTCATATCCCTTAACTATACATAATGTTAAACATTAATCCTGAGGCTGACTGGAACTGGAAGTGCCAATTCCAGTATCATGCAGAAGGCAAGAAAGGAGCGAGGTGCCAAGAGAAGTGGTGATGCCCCATCCCTGGAGACACTCAAGGTCAGGCTGGACGGGGCTCTGAAAACCCTGATAGAGCTGTAGGTGTCCCTGTTCATTGCAGGGGCAATGAACAAGATGGCTTTAAAGGTCCCTTTCAACTCAAATGATTCTATGAAATGCCTGTACATCACTATTTTCATAGCACATCTTTTTTTCTCACACTGTGCTGCTCCAGCAGCCCAGATGGGCTGGTGTATGCTCCATGCCTGCTTCTCTTTGGGAGAGAGGCTCCAATAACATGGACAGAGAATTCTGTTTTGGTTTCTTTCATTCCTGGCTGCTCCCATACCGAGCTCCTTAGGGACATGGTTCAGAGGGAAATATTGGTGGTTGGTGTACAGTTGGACTAGATGATCTTAGTGTTTCTGGACTTAATGATTCTATTAATCTATGATTCTATGGCTAATGGTACTGCATTATATGATGCTGCTGAAGGAATTTTTCTTGTGCTTTTCTCAGGAGCTGCAGAAGAAAATAGAAATGGTTAACCAATTCTGGCTTAAGAGGATGAGAGTTATCACCCAGCCTACACCATCAAACTCTTCATGGACATTTTAATGCATTCATATGCACTGCATCATTATCATCACTTTTCAAATGGAGAGTTGCAAAGGACCTAGAGACTGGAGAGTTGTTAGCATAGTAAACTTTTTATACATTTAAAAAACCTGTGCCTAGGTCAATCTGTTCAAACAGTTTTGATGACCATTCTCTGAAATAGAAGTATCACCTGCAAGGCCGCCATTGTATGCAGCCCATGTTAGCATCTCCACCTCCAGTATTCACTAAAAAGGTTTCTGAGGTGTTTCTGTGAGGTGTAGAGTTGTACAGGGAACGGCATCAGCTGGATAGTAAAATTGTAGTAGTAAAACCAACTGGGCAGTAAAATTCTTATTTTTTAAATTGTTATTACTGTTTATTATTTTTATTTTTAACATAGTCAATCTGCATAGTGATAAGAACTATGAGCAGCTTTAGGGGATGTTTTCCATTATTAATAACTAACCCATTAGCAGATGTCTAAGGAGCTGGTTGTGTTTCAGCCCTGCTAAATACCTAAACACCTGCTCTGTGATGTTCCCTGGCAGGCCAGATGACGCTGAGGACGCAGCACGTTCAGGACTCCAAGATGGGCTTTGTAATCAACGCGATATACTCGATGGCTTACGGCCTCCACAACATGCAGCTGTCGCTGTGTCCAGGCTATGTGGGCCTTTGTGATGCCATGAAGCCCATAGATGGACGAAAGCTGCTGGAGTCTCTCATGAAGACCAACTTTACTGGAGTCTCTGGGGACATGATCTTGTTTGATGAGAATGGTGACTCGCCAGGAAGGTAACGTTAACATTTGTCAAATCATTTAAACAGCAGACATGCAAACTGTATGCTGTAGATCATTCACACAACATTAGAGCTATGATCTCATTCCTTGTTTTTCATATTTTTAGACTTTCTGAACTTATTTTTTCAGAATAACTCTTTTTATTACTGTGCATTTTTAATTATATCTAATATTATAATTGGAGAAAACAGATGAGTTTTTCAGGCACTCAGTCTTTTTCTGTGGGTGGCAAACCATGAGACCCTCAATTTTCTGTTTGGAGACCACAATGTCCATTACAGTGTTAATCTTTCTCTCTTTGGGTATTTCAGAATTATGTGTTTTAAAGGTAAGAAGTCATTACTTGAATAATTAACCATAGTTTCTTTACTAAGAAAGCTAAAATACAAAAGATGTATTCATTAGTCTGGGATTTTTTTTTCTGATTTGAATAATTAAAAATCTGCCTCGTTACCTTCCAAATGAAGCAGTACCATGTGCATAACACACTAAACTTATAATACACAGTGTACTGCTGTAAACAAATTAAACAGAGCTAAACATGATTTGCTGTGGCATACATGCAATGTCCATATGGAAGCACATACTCAGAATACTAATGAGAATTTTTCTGGTTTTCTGCTACTGAACTGTCAGAAGATGAACAAGTGTGATAGCATTTGAAGGGTATTTATTTTTTCCTTCTAGTTCAGCAAGTAGATTCCTGCCTCATTTCACTGCATTTACTCCAGTTTGATCGAGGCAGTCCTTTCTGTCAACATTATTGAGAAGGTTTTAAATGTCTGTGCGATGACTAGAGGGAAAACTGGTCATACTGTGCACTCATTATTTGCATTCCCTCTAATGTAAACTGAAACAAAAGAATTAACTAAAGAACAGAATGGGACAAGAAAATAAAATCCCATTGGTAAGAATACTCTGATATTTCAAAAGTTTTCTACAATTTCAGAAATTATTTTTATCTTGTTTTATTTGAAAACCTGTAGTGTCAACATTTTCATCAAAAGATAGCAGGCCAGACACATGCAAAACAGTCTGCTTTAACCAGTCTTTTGGAAACACACATTTCTGAAATCTTCAGACTCAAACTCTAAGGAGGCGCCTCATGAGCTGTCAGGAAAACTCAAACAGAGGAACTCAGGAAATGAAAAAAAAAAAAAAAAAGGGGTGGGAATTTATTGCTAGCATTGTTTTGGTAAGTAAGGCTATCTTCCATTATGCATTTCAATTTTTACAAATTGCTGAATTCGGAAGAAAATTACTCAGCCTGGATATTTTTTTTTCTGACAAAATCTGCTTGAAATTTGTCACAGACTTCTCTTAAAAGATTTCTGTTTGATTTTAGTGATATTTAGGTGCAATTAATTGTATCCTATATTATTCCTATCTCATTTCCACTCTTTTCTTATAGAAAGAGTGAAGTGTGCAGTAAATAAATAATATGAGACACTATACACCAATGACAACAGCTAAATTTTGCAAAGGGAACCTTATATTTACCTTTTTTTCATGTTGGCATTCTCAGCAATAGTGTTTCGATTCCATTCGCCTGAAGGAATTTAACAAATACTTTTGGTGTCTTTATATTCAACGTTCAATTCCAAAAAAAGATGAGGAAGGAATTATATTGTGCACATTCATTTGCACAAGTCACACTAAAGCACCAGTGTTTCACTGGAGAGCATGGAGCCTCCATATTATGAATCTCAGTGTAATGTGACTTATGGAAAGTCCAGCCTCATTAGATGCGTGTGAGATACAACAGTCTCTGCCTCCTCAAAATAAAGAAATGTGAGTAGGGATAAAATGTTTTTCAGAGCTTGGTTACTATAGAAGCACAGGTCTTTGTTCTCTCCTGTCCTAAAACTGTCACATCATTAAATCCATACTATGTGCTTAAAGTAGCCAATAATGAGTCAAAATTTACTTTTTAGTGAGAAGGATTTATAGGAAGTTCCATTTCTAATTCCCAGATCTGGATAGTTTCTAGTCTTTTGAGCACTGTCAAATACTGTTTGCTACAGCTGGGAGATGGTGCAGTTGTGATGGAATATCTCATCTTCCCTGTTCACTTCTGTTGCTAGCTGCATCTTCACTTTGTAAAACGAAATGTAAATCCTCATAGCTGTACTGTGGTAGCGGTGTTAAGCAGGAAAACAGAATGTGAAAAGTCTTCCTGACCTAGATAGCTCTGGATTTTGATGTATACCAACAGGGTTTTGACATTATAAAACAGATCACTAATCTCACAAGATGCTTCAAATCCTGGCCCTATCCCAAAGTTCTTTATGAGTAAGCTGAGCTTTAAGCAGATAGATAGTCAAGTGGAGAGCTTGTTTTAGGTGAGATGAAGACATGGGAAAAAAGATCAGTATGGAAGCAGCAGCCATGATCTCTCAGAGTGATAACAGCTGTCTGCAAATATTAAGGAAACTCCAAGAAAGAAATTGAAAAGGCAAGAAAAGGCAAGAAAAATAAGTTGGCGATGTCTTGTCTACTTGCTACCAACAGAATATGGATTCTCAGCAAACTCATGGCACTTCTGTTTAGAAGCAAGTGTTTTGCACTGTGATTAGGGCACTGCTGGAAATGTGTTATTGCACCATCTGGTCTCTCCTATCCTAAAGTGACAAACTGTCTCTGTGGTATCTCAAGCAAGCTCCAGGGAACCAGTGATTCATGAACTTCTGCTATAGAAATGAACTTCCTGAGTCTGGTTATTGCTGTGAATCTACCAATACTACTCTCTGCAGAGGTCTTGTGAGAGACTACATACTGAGGCAATAGGTTTATTTACTATGTCAAGTTTCTTTTCAGTATCTCCCCTGGGATATAAGCATGGAACTAGTCTACAGCTACTGGAGGGATAATCATTTTAGTTCCAGTGGCCTGATAAACATTGACAGTACTTTTGTTTATCTGCCCATAAAACTCTGAATTGACAGCTTCAACAAAGCAACCTTCAGAGGAGCATTACAATTTCCTGATAATATGGAATTAAGACTCCGCAAGGGCTTCTGGGCTAACATTTTGGTTGGTCTGTTTAATGCTTAATCAGACCATTATTATGTTTGTAAACCTCAGCAAAAGCAAGCAAACAAACAAACCCTTGCAATCTTTTTTTTTACCACATGAAAAATCAACCTGTTTATTTAGATTTATGTATGTGTTTATTTAGATTATATGTATATGTGTTAGTCTGACATTCAGCCTTCTAACTTTGATAGGGTATCTGAGTATCAAAGGTGTGGACATTTCCTCCTTTATACAAGACAAACATTAAAATATTCTAAAATCCAGGATAATAATAATTTTTCCTCACTAGCTGTGTCATTGCTCATTTCTTTTTGTTTTGGAAAGAGTAAGATTCTCATAGAATCGTAGAATCTTAAAGGTTGAAGAAGACCACTACAATCATCTTGTCTAGTAATCAACCCATCACCACCAATCCCATTAAAGCAGGTCTCTCATGATATGGATAATGTCATACTGGTCATCCACTCAGGCTCCATTTCCATTTTATTTCACTGTTTGCTTGCAGTCCTGATCCTGTGTTGCAGGTCCCTGACCTGTGTTTGATTTTGGCATTGACTCCCTGCCAAACCAGTTTCTTCTCTGAGACAATTAGATTTTATCTCCTGGTTTAAAACATTCAGGGATCCATGTCTGGAGAAGTTTATCAAAGGAGAGCTTTACTGTAGCTTTTTTTTTTTTTTTTTTTTAAATCAGCTCAGAAAAATCATTGATTTCATAGACTACTGCTTGCTAGTCTCCAAGTTGCTTTTGGAGTGGCCTACATTTCTGGACATTTTGGTTTTTGCCTCACCATAGTGAAGTTTAAATCTCTGAATTAAGGTATAAAAGAGCTACAGAGACAGTGAAGGTCTTGGAGGGCAAGATGTACAAGGAGTAGATGAGGTCCTGTGATTTGTTAGTCCAGAGCAGAGCAGGCTGAGGGGAGACCTTTGCAGCCTTGGGTTGGACTCAGTGATCTGTGTGGGTCTCTTCCAACTTCAGATATTGTCTAGTTCTATGATTCTTAAAGTGTTACCACAAAACTTTAGTATCTTATTTAAGAGACTGTTTGATTTAATGAGCTGGTTCTTTTACTTATCTGCAACTTCATAATGGACTTCATAATGTGCACTCTAACAATATCAGTCTTAATCCAGCTCTTTCAATATGTTTTCCTTGGGAACAAATTTTGAGTCTACTGCTGGGAAAAAGTTGACCTCTTGTTTATGAACCAGGCAGGTTTCTTAAGCCTAGGATTGCACTTACATTCTCAGTTTATAGTGTTTGCTTAGTGATTTTCAAGTTGTTTACTCAAATCACTGCAAAATCCACTAAAGAGAAGATAAAGAAAAGATGATATCATCACTTCAGGAGTTGCCCAACTTTCCAGACTGGACTACAGGGCAGGAAGGTGGCCTGGAAGGTTAAGCATGCTAGGAGGCTGATGAATTGTAGGCTGCCCCACAAACTTTCTTTAGGACTCTATGGGAGCTAAGAAGAAAGCATAGGAAGAAGGAGAAATGTGAACCTGAAAGCTGTGATCCGCTCTGATCTACTCTTAGGTCTTCTGTTCCCAGATGTCAAAGGAGTCTTACCCAGAAGCCACTTAGGACTGAGGCCTAGGTACCCTTTCCTTTCATAATGAAGCCTATGAAGAATTTAATATGTTCTGATCACTGAGGAATTATATAAAAAGGGAAGAGTGTCCTTTGTATGGTACAGAATAACATTTGATGCTGTAATGCTGTAAAAGAAAAATATAGGTGCAAGTCTCAGCTCCATTCTTCAAACAAGACTTAATGCCTGGATTAAAAGGCCTAAGCACTGTCACTTGCTCAGGTCTCCCTGAAGCAAGTCCCAGAGTTGTGGAATCTGTGCCCAATGAATGATTCTTGACACCTCTTCAGGTATCACACCCACCCTGCATCATGCAGTCTTACAGCAGCTGAAGTCATAGAATCATAGATTCATTACAGTTGGAAAAGACCTGTAAGATCATGTAGTTCAACCATCAACCTGCCACCATGCCCACAAGCCATGTCTCTCAGTGCTACATCTCCACAGTTCTTGAACATCTCCAGGGATGGTGACTCCACCACCTCCCTGGGCTGCCTGTGCCAGCACATCACCACTTTTTCTGAGAAGAAATGTTCGCTAATTTCCAGCCTGAACATCCTTTTGTTTTTCTCAAGATACGAAATCATGAATTTTAAGAAAATGGGGAAGGACTACTTTGACTATATCAATGTTGGCAGCTGGGACAACGGTGAGCTGAAAATGGATGATGATGAAATATGGTCAGAAAAAAATAATATCATCAGATCTGTCTGCAGTGAGCCCTGTGAAAAAGGACAGATAAAGGTAAATATATTTTCTACTTATTTCAGTTGTATGCATAGGCTTGAAATGTGAAAAGAAATTCTTTCTATCTCTTTCATAGAGGCAGTATCCCACCCCTTAATTAAACTGTACAGACATAAATTTAGTTCCTGCTCACATCATAGTCATTTCACAATTTTCATAAGTTACTAGTGTTGTACTTCTATATCTGTGAACTGTTGTCTTTTTTACCCTTATAATCCAAATGCTTTAGAGCAGAAATTGTTTGGTGCTATTTTGTTTTGTTTTTGTGTTTTGTTTTGGTTTGGTTTTTTTTGCTGCATACATTAATAGCATCTGATTCAGTGGAGTGTAAATCCCTGGCTGGGACTTGTCAGTACAACTGCAGGTAATTCGTAAATAATAATTGCTACTAATTTAGTGCTAGACATAGACACCTAAACTGGGCCATTATTACTCACACATCTACAGTATCTTCAGAGAACATCGGTAACTACTGCTGCTTAGAACTGCAAGAGAAGTAAGTAACTTCTTTTTTTTTTTTGTAATGATACCTATTTTATCATTTCCTTTCTGTCTTAGGTTTTAGATTTTTTTCCAGTCTCCCTGTTGAAATGGTGTGAGGAAGAAAGATAAATGATTCTGTCATATATTAATTGTACTCTGTTGTTCTGGAGCATTCCATGAAACAAAGCAGATAAAACATCAGCAAGTCCCTAACTCACCTTGCAGTCATTTCCATAAAAGTCTGTGCACTGAGAGGATTGTCATGGACAATGGAATGGCATGAACTGAAAAAGAAAAACTTTTCTCCAGTGTTGACATGGCACGCTTGCAAATCTGGGAAGTGGCAAGGGCTGATGGGAGGCTGACCGTGCTCTGCAATACAGAGAGTGAAACACTTCTGTCCAAGTCTTGCGTAGTTTTAGGAAGATACTGTGGTTTATTCACTGGCTGGTCTTTTGCAGAGTCAGCAAATTCCATCAGTTCAAATCCATGTGCCTTCAGCATAGTAGATACATGCAGTTATGTCAGATTTCCAAATTTCATAGTCAGTGGAAATACATAGATTATTTCAAATCAGGAGTTGTTTATCCTCAGTTAAGATTATAAAACAGTTGAGAGTAATCTTGGTTTAGAAACACATTTATTTTCACAGCCAGGACATTTGGTTCAGATGGAAACAAACTTTCTGCAGACACATGAGGGAAGGGAGGATGACTTACACCCCCAGTAACTAATCATAGTATGTTAGCTTGCTACAGATACTAAGACATATATTCAAGAGGAAAGAGATGTACAAACAGGTATTACTGCAGAACTGCTTACTGACATGCTCTGTAACTTGTTTCCACAACTCAGGGGACAGAAAGAATCTTCAGTAAGTTTCCTCCCACCTTCTGCCTGTGCTTTCAAGGATTCTCCCAAGACAGTTATCACAGAATCATTAAGATTGGAAAAGACACGTAAGACCATCTAATCCAACCGTCAATTCTTCTCTGTCAAGGCAGTTTATCACACACACACATACTTCAAGCCCAGTGTTTGAAATGTTCCTTATGCTCTGCTTTAGGCGACCGACTGTGAATCTCAAAGTTTACTGTATAATCTTTTATCTTCATTGCATTCACAGATGGTGGGGAAAGCTGGATCCTGCCTAACTTCTTGGTGGCTTTCTTACAGGGTTATTTTGGAATGAGTTATTATGAAGGAATTTGAAACTTTCAGTGCAATGAGATGCTGTTACTCAGCAGGGTTTTGTGTAACCATCTGAAGCAGAGGGTAAAATCCAAACATAATCCATTTGTATACATTCAAAATTGTGTAAAACATATTATTATTCAGATAGTAATAATTCAACTGGTTCAGTGGATTAGAAAGATGACAAGAACATGGTAAAAAAAAAATCTGTGTTTTTTTTTTAATTAAAAGGGACAGGAAAGATTGTTTTACTGTCAAAAAAAATGCTCCAACAAAAATATATATATTCAAGAAATGGAAAGTAAAAGGATGAAGAAATAGCTGACTATACGATTTTATAATGGACTCTGATTTACGAACAATTCTTTTCTTCCTAGAGAAGGATACATAATCATGGTTAGTACTGGATAAGAAGTGCTGAGAGTACTAGTTTTCTTTCTAATTTTTCAGATTCTAAGTATTCTATTAGAAGGTGCTAATTTGGTGAGAAGTTTAACATGAAACTCTAAATGAATTGTTTTGATAGAAAAGGTGTTTTCATAATACCATATTGTTATTAATTTGACATTTCACTTTCTTGAGTTGTAAAATGATGGATTTTATAAGGCATTATTCACCAAAATATGTCTAAAATTAGTACAAGCTTTCTGAGAATTTATTTTGACAAACAGAAGGAACTTTTAAAAGCTCCATTGTTCAAACTTTTTGTTTTAGATCAAAATGAAAGAAATCCGAAGATATGATTTTTCAGGAGGGCAGATACATTGCTTTGCAAGCAGATGTAATCTAAAGTCTTAGCAAAATATTTATGCTCTTATGTTTTTTCTTCAAGTTTAGCTAATTAGGTGACTTTTATTTCCTTTCATCCTCTACTATTTTATAAACAAAATTCAAATTTCAAATTTTCAAATCCCCCTATTGCTGATGAAAAAAGATACAAATTGCACTTTTTGTTCACTACAGTTTTATAAAGAGCAATGTGAGCAAGACAGTAATTCTTCTTTATACTAAGTTGCATTTCATTTATTGAAAATTCAATAAGGACATTTGGTTTTGAAGTCCTCTTCTAAATACACCACTGCATAAAAATACCAAATTTCAAAAAGCCAACAAGTCAGTTTGCTCCTTGTAATGTAATTGAAAGTATTTGTTTTAAAGTTGTTTAAAAATAACAAAGAGATTGGGAAGCTTTATTTAAAAAAAAAAAAAAAAAAAAGAAACATGGACAAAAAGCACAGATAATGATAAATAAGGGTCTTGAAAAATCTACATCTCAATCATGAGTATGTAATGACATTTGGCAACAAATTATAAGATGAGAAATCAGGTCAGATGTTAAAATGGACTAAGGTAACATTCTCATTTCTAGGAAATTAGAAATGTAGTAACCTAAATAGTTCCAGAAACTATGTTCAATTTGATATTTGGAAAAAAATCAGTTTTAACCAATTACTCAGAATTGAATGAAAAATAAGCATCCAAAAATCTTTGGATAATAAACAAACTCTTTTCAGTCTGTGCTCAGTGCCAGGACAAGAGGCATTGGGCACAAACTGAAACACAGCAGGTTTCCTCTGAGCACCAGGAAGCACTTGTATGTGTGCAGGTGCTGGAGCTCTGTCACAGGTTGCCCAGAGAAGGTATGGAGTATCCCACTAAGAGATCTCCAAAGGCCACTTGACATGGTGCTGGGCACCCTGCTGTGGGTGTCCCTGCTGGAGCTGAAGTTGGGCCATATGGACCCTTTTTGTGGTTCTGTATTGGCATCTATACTTCTACTGGGTTACTGGCTTCTTCTGGTATATACATGGTGTGGGAACGGAGAACTTGTGTCACTTTTTGGATGAACAACATATGATATAATATCATATCATATCATATTGTATCGTATTGTATTGTATCGTATCATGTCAGGAGTTCTCTTCAACAACAACAGCAACAACAACAACCTTTCTTAGAAAAAAAAAAAGAAAAAAGAAAATTAGTACTTGGGGCAGCATGAATGTACATTTATGTTGCTAAATCAAATGTCAATTTTTATCTCAGGTGATTCGTAAAGGAGAAGTGAGTTGCTGCTGGACATGCACTCCTTGTAAAGAGAACGAATATGTCTTTGATGAATACACATGCAAGGCCTGCCAGCTCGGCTCCTGGCCCAATGATGAGCTTACAGGTAAACAAGTTATGGGTGTGCTTATGTTGTCAATTATTATGTTCATTGGCTAAGCTGAAGAAACAAATAGCAGATACAGGTGAGTATGAGGACTCTTTGCTTTAGTCAGATTAAGCCTAGAGATATAACTGAAATCTGAACTCAAACTGGTATTTGTTATCTTTCCTCAAGTTGATCCAGAAGCCCTTAGTTTAATTCAGCTGCTCTCTAAAGACATAAATACATAAATTGCAAGATCTAGAAATAAAAAATCTAGTCCTAGCATTGAATTTGAAACTGTACTAGCACCAAACAGGTTGTGTATCTCATGCCCTTCCTCAAACACACTGAAAAATGAATAATTATCAGAGAAATTATTAAAGAAAGTCAAACTTTATTCAGTTTTATTAACCTCCCAGGCAGGTAAAGAAGAGTTGTGGCAATTACTGATGTTGAAAGCATCAATGCTCCAAATAGACTTAGCTCTGTAGCAGTCCTTTGTTCACCAGATGGTCTGCTAAAACACTGGTTTCATTTTCTCCTGGCCATTCTGTAGATCTCCATACTCTTGCAGAATGTCAATTTGCCTCTTCCGGGGCAAAATTGTTCCAATACTTGTATCCCACAGACTCCCTTCTTTATGACTAATAGACAGGATTTGTGTGTTCAGATGCTCAGAGAACAAAGATGCTTTAAATACTGTTCAGGGATCAGGTTCCCATTATGGCTGTCTTTGCACCAGAGGAGAAGAGACAGGCTTTTTCCAGAAGAGTTCAGAGACTCAGTTTACATATAATTCCTATGGATGAAGTGAGAAATGAGTGAGATTAAAGAGAAGGAAGACATAAGGAAAAACAATTTGCTGGGTGAATTTATGTAATTGGAAGAGTGTCAGATAGTGTTTGGCCTTTAGATAGATTTCTGTAAATAAGGTTAATCAAAATTTTTCCCTCTTAAGGGATGTTACATTGTGGTAATACATGATATAAGAATACTAATTACTATAAATAATAATTTTAAAATTATTTAACTATGAAATTGATAGGGTATTTATCAGAAAATGCCAAACATTAAACTTCTGAAGAAAACTTTTAACTGATAAAACTGAAACAGCAGCAAATTAGATTTGTAAACTCTCCTCTAGTCCTGAACCTCCAGCACTGCCTTCCTGAGCACACAGCAATCAGTCAGAAAACCCCTCTCACATCAGGAAAAGCATTCTCATGTCATGGGAATGGAGAAAGGAAGAAGAGAACTTGATCCATTTGATTCCTTCTTTCAGCGCACAGTACACAATTTTGAGTATAAACTCAAATTTACATCCTGCCTTGGCCATACGTTGACCCCACTGCATGGACCAGGCTGCTGCACCAGGCTGATCAACTTGTGAAAGTCAACTGGTGCAAATGGCCAACTCTTCAAACAAATTCCTCTGAAATGCAGCAGTTCCCAGATCACACATTTGTTTCAGCTAGCACATAAATTTTTACCCAAAGTAGATCAGCTGGAATAACAGCTGCTACAATGAGGCTAGAAGGGAAATTGCTGTAAGTGCCTCATCTGGTCAATAGAGGATCCTTTTTTGAAACAGTGGTGCTTATAACTGCCCATCATGTTGGAGAATTTGAAGGGAAGGGGAGGGAAGGAAATAGACTTTACGTGCTGTATGTAAGGCAAAGTGGAGCAGACAGCCTCCAGCATTGCTCTGGTGCCTGGGGCTTTGTGTTGGCTCTCCAGGACACTCAGGACCCACAGCCAGGTATCAATCTGGGCTTGTGGTAGCATTTATCCTCTCAAGGTATTACTTTGCCCTCAAGATGGAAGAACAAGAGTGGGTTGGGTCAATGCTTTTCCACCTAACTCTGGGCATTTTGAAGGAAAGTTGTTCTTCCAGTCAAACCAACTGCTTCATGTAATACATGTACTGTTATATTTTGAAAACATTTCATTTGTCTTTTGTATGCTGAATCACGGCCTGAGCCTCTGATTGATCACCTGAGGCAAGCAATGAGTCAGCCACAGGTGAAGGCAATTCAGCTGTGCTGCCGGAAGGGGTGGAACCTGGTTCCACCTCTCCTAGACCCATTTAAGAGCTGACTACCACAGGGTATCTTTTCAGGAGATCTGCTCCATTGGGGTTTCATAAGTGAGCCCAGGATACAGGTAAGCATCCTATCTTTTCTGGTTTGGTGTAATAACTACGTAGCTAAGCTCTCTGGTATATCTCATAACTGTAACATCTGTACATTCATTGATTATGCAGTCTTTAGACATGCATTTTGTGTTGTATGGCAATGAAATCTGATAGGCACACATTAAACATCAGTGGGCATCAATGCCAAGCAATGGTTTTTAGGAGATCTAGCTGTTGTTTCTTAGCTGGGCACAGATTCAGCAGAGCATTGGGTAACTGAACCCTACCTCAGTCTCTATGAACACTGCTGATACAGCATGCGTTCCTGGTAACAGGATCCCTATCATCATAGCTGCATGGCCTTATGTTTCCCATCTAACTTAACTATTCACATGATGATTGGATCTGGTCTTATTTAGCCTTGTATCAAAAACAGATTTTAAAAAGTTTATTCCCAACTTATCTATATGATATATTAAGCTGTATGTTTTTACGATTGTATTTATAGACCCAACTTTTGCAACTTGTAAAGAAATTACCTCTTGATCTAACTTTGTTTGCAGTGTAAGTTTAGTAATAAATATGAAGTAAATGTAAGGAGAGAGAAGTGCATTTTGAATTCTGGTGAGCAAACTTCTCATTAACTTTTCAAAGCACACACTAATCTCCTTGAGATGTCCCTACATCTGATACTGCAGCAGACTGTGTCTCTTTGCTGCAAGATAAAGCCATATCTTAGGTAATGTCAGCTTCTCAAGGCCACACATAAAAGCTCACTGGAATAAGTCTTCCTTGCATGGTCACTTTTATATGAGAGTTCTGCTTTTGAGTCTCTGGTTTCTGAGTCAGTAAATTTATCAGCCATGCAAAAGGAAAGGCTTTCAATGTGAAGCTGCACCTCACTGTCTGCCAGAGGTCCGAACTTAGATAAAAACATTTTTTTAAATCCTTTCTTGGCTCATACAACAAAACATCACTTCAGTTTTCTTATACACAATGGCTGGTATCAATTTGGGCCACAAACTTCAATATATAAAAGATATAATGGCTGAGATGCTGCTTATAAAAAAAAGTTCAGTCTTGTTTTTCAGCCACCTGAATGAGAATCACCAATATGAGAATTCAGCTGCAGGAGGAGAGCAGACAGAAGAGATGCAACGTGTGTAGGAAACCATTATTCTCATAAAAGATAAAGAGCTGTGAGATCTCAAGTACAGTAAGGCTTAGTAAGTCCAAAGGGAAAAATGAGTGGGAGGAAGAATTTCTCTTGATTAAGTCAGTTACTGGAAAATATATCTATCTAGAAAAACTGAGGCAAGGAAAACAATGTTTAGTTGCTAATATCTTATTCCTTACAAATTTTATTTTCATTGCTTGTGCACAGAACTTTCCCCAGGGACCAAACTGTACCTAGAATGCAAACCTACTAATTCTCTTTTCTTTTTCCCCAGTCCATGTGTACTATCCCCAAAAGCACTCCAGGTCCAAATCTTTCTCCTGGGCTAGTGTCAACTGGTCTACTTATGTACTGTAGATCTCCTTCCTAACACTCTGTTAGTAATGTGTGCATGTGACACAACCACTTCACACAGCACTCAGTGTGACTGAGCCATACTCCATTAGAGCAGAAGAAACGCATGATTTGAAGTCCAGAATGATATGCTTACACCTCCACTGTTCCTTAAAACACTTAATGGTGCTACATTCACAGTGGGAGGAAGAGAAATGGATTCCAGGTGTGTTTAGATATGAATAAAGAAACTCTTACCTTTTTTGATCCAAATCTTGATGCAACTGATTTTTCAGTAGGCTGAGAAATGCTTTTTAGTTCTCCTGGAATCCACTGACTTTGAGGGCGTGATCGTCTGCATTCAGGAAGGATACCTTGGGAAAACTGAACAAGTTTTGCTCAGCAGTGCGAAAGTTTGTGAGTGGCTGTAGGAACATCTTGATCTGGTGATCCCCAGGGTTTGTCCCCAGGACATTTTTGAGGGGGAAAGAGACAATTATTCTTTCTTTCTGTGATTCAGGGACAATAGAAAACAACAACAGAAACGGTTCTGGTAATGTCGGGGGCATCAAAGAAAGCAGATGATATTAATTAAGTGACTTTTGGATTATCTTCAGGCTACACTGACATTTTCATCACTCTCTGTGTACTCCAACTATGCTGGTTATTTGATTTTCTTGATTAGATTCCGATGAACATAGGAGGTGAAATACTTTACGGTTCTTGAAAAGTTTTCTTTGTCATTCATGGATAAGGCTAAACATCAGAAATATGCATTTTTGCTATAGTTACAAAAATTCCTTCACCTAATAAGGTGCAGTATACCCAGTATAGCAGATTTATGATCTTCATGTTTGAAAATGCTAGATAGGAACTGGAGTATCCAAACAGCACTTGAATGGTGAGAACTAGGGGGAAAAAAAAGTGCATTCCACCTCTACATGACAAAACACTTCAACATGCTGACTATACTGGTGCTGTGTTCTGTTATCAGCCTGCTCCTTCCTGAACCCAAGCTTGTACTCCTATGGATTCATAGAATCACAAGATCATTTGAGTTTCTTGTCTTCCTTTCTTGACTTCCTTTACCTGTGGATGGAGAGATCTTGTGCCCCAGGAAAAGCTTCCTTTGAGATCTGCCATCCCTTCTCTGCTCTCTTTCATTTGAGGATGGTTTCCCCAAGGGCTTTGTTGATTAACTCCCTGAAGAGCTGGAATTTGGCTTTCCGAAGATTTAACATCCTGATTTTTACTCTGTCTGTCCAGTATCCCTCAAGGGTGTAAATTCCACTACTGCATGGTCACTACAGCCCAGGCAGCCTCCAGTGCTGATGTAATCAATCAGTTCACTGGCGTTGGTCAGCAACAGATCCAGTA